AACGGATGTTTTGACACGTGCTACTAATTGTTACCATAGACAGTGTCAGTGACTCGGTGAATGATGTCGGGGTACTGTTAACTTGTAGTCCCATTAATGCCAGCCAACACACCCTAAACTAACTCTAGAACTACAGCCCTTCGCCCCGCCACAGGGCTGAGTGAAGGGTCGTTTCCTGTGGCAGAGCGAAGGGCTATAGTTCTAGAGCTAACCATAAACGTAACTACATTACAGACGAAGAAAATGAAACGCTGAGCATTGCTGAGCATTCATACACACATATACAGTAGTACGCCACCATGGGATTAGGTGCTTAGCTACTACGCCTTGCTCACCGCAGATCTCACAGTCTACATGCTGCCAGCACGGCAGGTCGGTCACTGCACCTACCCCCACAGTACATATATAGCCCGCCATGCTGCTCCCTGCAGTATAAACATCTAGCGTGGAAGATAGACTGTGCATGAGTAAACAAAAGTGGGATAAGCAGTGGTCATAAGATACTATGCCCCCGCCCGGAGGCTGTCCAGGATAGCCTGCCTTACTGAATGGCAGGTACTGCATGGTATAGGCCAGCTGGCAAGCGCTACAAAACACAATTATATAATTATAATGAATGATACGGGTCACATAACTGTATGGGATAGCATGGTCACAGAGTTGTATGGAATAGCATGGTCACAGAACTGTACAGGATAGCTCGGTCACAGAACTGTATGGGATAGCATGGTTAAAGAGCTGTACAGGATAATATGTATGGTCACAGAGCAGCACAGTGCAGCATGGTCACAGAACTGTGCATTATAGCATGATCACAGAACTGTGCATAATAGCATGATCATAGAGCTGTATGGGATAGCATGGTCACAGAACTGTATGGGATAGCATGGTCACAGAACTGTACGAGATAGCTTGGTCACAGAGCTGTATGGAATAACATGGTCAGAGAACTGTATGGGATAGCATGGTATCAGAGCTGTACAGGATAATTGAGCCTTGCCACAAAACATGTGGGATGCTGTAACCTTTGCCATAGAGCTGGATTGGATATATTCAGTTGCCGCGTTTTAATACTTTATTGGGATATGAGGACATCTCATGTAATGTCCCTATAACAAGAGCTCTGTAGACTTGGAGACCTTGAGGTTCTCAACCACTGTGCCAGGTCCTGTGTGCTGCAGTGGCTAGGTCGAGTGTAGTGTAGTGACCCGACAAGAAGAAGATTGGGAAATGCAACTCATATCTAGCGATGCTTGGTAGGCCAGAGCTCCAGTTATAAGGCTGTACATTGGCACAGATATGAATGGGATAGTATGAGCAAAGCAGTGCACCCACTGAAGGAGTAGATCCACACCTAGATATTGCAATCTACACATGTATGTCGACAGGTCAGAAAAAGGTCACGTTCTATGCTAGAATGGCCAGAAGCAGCACTACCCTAGTATATGCTACCAATAATATTTATTACATCGCCACTGCAAATTGTGAGCCGCGTTGCATGGCTACAAAAGACATTTCGTGAGGTATCACGCAAGAAAAGCATTAATGTGACAATTGCAAAAATGTGTGGATCACGACAATAGTTGTGTTACGCCAGATGTAGTGCCCATACACATACAGCTGTACTTAATACAGCCCCTACCACCCTACTGTGCACGGAGAAGACTACCCCTACTTAACTATCGCAGCTAAATACAAGTGGTAGCTAAATACATTCTACAACTAGTAGTAGTACTACTACTACGAACACTAGCCTGTTGTAATCGTGGTTGTACTAATCTGTAACTTGTAAGCAGTAGCCAGTATCACTTATCACCAGACTTCATACCTTATAACACACAACCATCCGCTCCTCTATATAATAAGCACAAACAGACGACAACGTCGCTGTTAAAGTGCATGAATAACACGAAGTCGATGTTATATATCAGTGCATGAGAACGTTTGAGTCGTACCGAGGCTTGGTTCACTTGCTCATGCTCTCATAATCATAGCGCTGGCACCTACACAGCGACAGAGAAAGCAGCTGATGAAAAACGAACCGCGGAGCGAGGACATATCAATTATCATGCAAGAACTAAGCAAATGAGCCATACCGTACCTATTCTCACGTACAGCCAACGAAATTCTTCAAAGCACCACCAACGCTTCACTGATAACATGCACTAAAATCAGTAAAAACAAATGTAAACTTACGAAATTACTCCTAAACGTCTCAACCGAGCACTCCGCTACCAATGATGACGTAACAGCGTACAGCGCCGCCTCGCGGCAAAGTATGACAGTTTATTGGCAACAACACGAATTTTAGCATGATTTTGCTAGTTAGTTGCTCTTGATCATTTGATTCAATTCACAACGCAACCTAATAACCTCCTCATAAATATTAGTCTTTAAAGTCCAAGGGACTACATCGGAGACAGAAAGAGACAAAGTTGATCAAATAAACAGATCAACACTGCGGATTGCAGTAGAAAAAGCCTCAAATTTGCAATTAACTAAAGAGGAAGGTAGAGAATAATCAATTCCAATACGGAATGACAGAAACAAGGAAGGTGACCTTAAATGGATCCTTTGAAGATGGCACGTGCCGAAAGCAATAATCACGATTATATGATCGAGTGCTACAAATAGACTTCATCAAGCAAGATGGAATGCCAACCTTTCCCTGACCATGATCATTTTTATGAAATGTTGAAGAAAATGCACACGAAGTAGAGGCCAATCGAGTTGAGCCAAAACAACTTCAGAACTATCATGATAGTTTTTGAAACCTATCTCGCAGCTTTATGCTGAGTGGCATCCAGTTTAGAACAGGTTTTAAGTGTATAGGGGCACCAACCTAGCAACGCACATTCTAATATTAGACGGACGGACGGACAAACGCCCCGCACGTTCGCTTAATTCGGACGCTGTTTTCCGTGCGCAAACATCGGACAAGCCGTATATTTTCCTTGTCCGTAATAAAAGCCTGCCCACCCCGGCCGCCGCCACCTTACGGCTTACGGCTCTCTCCGCCACACATGACGTCGCACGCATATGTTAGCCTGCCAGAGAGAGAGAGAGAGAGAGAGAGAGAGAGAGAGAGGCCAGTGAACGGTTATCCGCGGCCATAGCAGACACGATCAGTGTTTCCACGGGCTGGTACCATCACCACACCACCATCATTACAGTCGGCGACCGCCCTCAACGTCAGCCACTATAGTCATCATCACAGCCATACGCCGAATACCAGGGCCGTAGCCTGTGGGGAGGAGGGAGGGGGCAAAGGGCAGCTGCTCTGAACCTAGATTTTGAAGCAAAATTAAAAAACAAGCTGAGCTAATAATCGGAAACAACCCTAACGTGATTTTTTGGGGTCACTTAAATCAGTGAAAGCCTTGTCTCAGACCCACCACCCCTACCACACTATGGACGTCGATCAAGAACTGCGCCCGTCACTCATCATTACACAGTTGAGCCATGAAATTCGTAGGAATTTTCCTAGGAATTTGCTCGTCCTACGGCCCTGAATACCTCCCCTCGATTCAGCTAAGTCTACACACGTGCATGCGACTACACGTCATCACAACCCTCCCGACTACGCAAGACTATAAATGCTACAGTGGTCGGCAGTGGTACGTATCTGTCAGTCGCACACAAAGTGCGGCGGGGGATAACGCAGAAGTGTGAGGAATAAATACTCGAGCGGCCAACTTGAGTGCTGAAACACAACGACAACACACGGCGTGTACTAGCTTTACTGAAGCGAGTTACTGGTCCATCTTAGCTCTACAGTGGTTCTTAACCTTTTTTGAGTCATGGCTGATGGACCGCATTGAGTCTGGTGAAAGCTACGGACCCCTCCCCAGAAAATGCACATAAGCAAATAAACACACGATTTTGCATGCGCCTGGTTCACGGACCCCCTGAGCAAAGGGGTCCATGAACCACAGGTTAAGAAGCTCTTAACCTTAGCCCTTTGCTCTGTCACATGCCTGTTACCCTGCATGAAACTAGGCACGTAGAGTAACAGATAGCTGGGTGTGTATAGAAGGGTATAGACTGACACTGGCAGACACACAGGTAATTCAGAAAAAGCTGTAATTAAACATGGTGCGTTACGTATGGGACCGAAAGGGGACCTTTCCTTGGACTTGCCCTCGAGGAGAAACAACATGGACACGCACACACGCACATGCACGTACGTACATATACGTACACCTATATCTTGAGTGCACACGCAGACATACACGTACACAAATATACTAGTACGTTTAATAAAAAAAATCCCTAGTAGCGCTGGATTACACACTCAAAGCTTGCATGGGCGTGTAGGCTGTGTGTAGGCAGTGGTTTCTATGTGTGTAGCATATGTACGTAGTTGGGTTTACACGGATCTGTGCCACAGATGTACATGTACTACACGCAGCACGATATATGCGGGTGAAGAAATACCGTCACCACACAACAACACATCCCATTTATATACCCGGAGCCCGTTGTCAGAAACAAAATTAGTCCTAACATTAGTCTTAACAATAACATTTTCTCGTAGACCGTCGACAGCGCTTTGTTTCGTATTGTTATCAGAAAATCTGCTACGATTTTTCAGTCAGGTAACTTCGCAGCGTTTCTGTCGACGGTCTAAGAGAAAAATTTAATGTTAAGACTAATATTAAGACTAATTTTGTTTCTGACAAAGGGCTCCTGTACTGTGCCTGCACATGAAGACATTAAGAGTCCATAATAGAAAATTCTATAGAATTTAATGATCTTAGATTTTAATTATCTTAAAAATCTATAGATTTTTATAATCGAATTTTCTATTATGGACTCTTGGTAGAAAAGCTCTCACATACTATAAATGCGCACATGCAGCATGCATATATACACATGTACGATATCTTACCACAGGTCATGGAAGTAAGAGGCTTAATTAAGGGGTTAATTAAGGAAGTTAAGAGGCTCGTAAAATAATGCCCCATGTTTTCACCGTCAAGCCATCTTTTTGCCCTCAACTTTCCCATTTAGGTGGAGCACCCCTACCCCCAAAAAAGGTGAGCGCCCCACCCCCCACCCACCCTCGGGATTCCAGCCACGTCACTTCATGCCGCACAGTTCCTCCGGAGTTACGTTGCCACCGGATACGACCACGACGACATTCTTTCCGGACACGTCTGGGATCTTGCCCGTGAGCACGGCAGCGAGAGCGGCAGCGCCCGATGGCTCCACCTTCAGGCCGCCGTCGTAAAGTTTCCACATGGCGCTGATGATCTCCTCGTCCGCTACGAGAACAATGTCGTCGACAAACTGCCGGCAGTGTAGGAACGTGTGTTGACCTGTGGCGAGGAAAGGTCACGCGTTACTGCGGCGGCCCACTCTCAAGCCTGGCGCACCTCAGCAACTTTAATTCAAAGCACACTGCGCGAGCGTTAGCAATCGCGCGTGTCACAAGGCTTTAGCAGTGAAATCCAGAGATTAGAATCCAGCCCAGCAAGATAGGAATCTAATCCAGGTAGGAGAGAATCCAGCCCAGCTAGATAGGAATCTAATCCAGGTAGGAGAGAATCCAGCTGAGCTCAGGCAAGACATATATATATATATATAGTGCATTTGAATGATCTGTGCCCCATGTCATGTTTCTTACAGTGTGTGGGTAATATCAGTGAGAAACCCAGCTTAGCTATTCTCCTTGCAAGGTGAGTAGCCTAGTTAGGTTCCAGGGCCGTAGGCTGAGAAAATTTCTAGGGGGGGGGCAAAATTTCATGACTCAACTATGTAATGATGAGCGACGGGCGCAGCTCTTGATCGACGTCGACAGTGTGGTAGAGGTGGTGGGTCTGAGACAAGGCTTTCACGGATAAGTGACCAAAAAAATCACGTTAGCTGATTTACGGTTATTAGCTAAGCTTAGATTTTAATTTTGCTGTAAAAATCTAAGGGTGCA